TCAAAAGAACAGCATTTATTTGAAATAAAAGTCTTCTGTAAACAATATAAGTCTTTACTGTCACTTTTGAACAGCGTAATGCATCCTTCATAAATAAAAGTATTAATTTCTTCAATCAATCAATCAATGTCACTGATCCCAAACCTTTGAACAGTTGTGTATGTCCATTTTTCAGATCACTCTTGATATATCTTGCGAAGAACATCCTGGGACTTTCTGTTGTCATAAATGTTTGGGGACATGTCCTTATTATATATAATCTATAATATAATATTAAAAGAAATATGTATTATTGATATTATTAAAAAGTTAAGTAATGTCAAATTTTATTTGATATCATTTGTAATGCTTATTTTGATTTATATTCTTTCCATCACACACGTTTTCTCCTTGTGTAGCTCTGACACACTTGATCAGGCTGTAGAAATAGAGCACGAGATCTTCAGAGGCAGTAAATCAGCAAACCTGTACAAGGCTTCAGTTCTCAAGAGAGTGAGTGTTACTAATGCTCGGCTGCGTGTTAATCTCATCTCATCTCATTTAAAACGAATTGTCTGTAATGTGCATTTATCAGTGACATGTTACAATAAATTCACATATAACACTCTCCAGGTGTCAGAGATGAAGAAAAGTGCAGCTGCAAGTGTTGCTGAAGAGAAACAGTCTGAATCGAATGAAGAGACGGCGACCTGCTCTTCATCATCTCAACCTCTAGACGGCTTCACTTCAGCCTCTCAAGTCTACTCAGTGAGCCAATCACAGTTTGTCCTTAAAGACAGGTGGAAATGCAAACTTAGTATGAAATAGTGTTGTCAAACGATTAATCGCATCCATATAAATATATAAATGTATATACATGTAAATATTTTCTAAATATATACTGTATGTGTGTGTGTTTATATATACATAATAAATATACACAGTACACACACATATATTATGTAAACAAAAACTTTTATTTTGGATGCGATTAATCGCGATTAATCATTTGACAGCACTAGAAATAATATAGTGCTGTATTTTCTGGGATTCAGTTGGACCATGAAACGTAATTATAGAAATTGAAGTTTAATACTGTTCTATCCACAATGAAAGCAGACAACTGATAAATAGTCGTCATCTTTTTCATCACATTCTAGCTGAAGAGGAAGCGTGTAGGAGCGGGATTTCGTGGCTCGTCCAGCCTGTTTCAGACAGCTGGAGATCTGCTGAAAAACTCTCAGAAGGAGACGCTTGCCACGGACAAAACACCTGGAGACCCCATCTGTGAGGAAGAGGAGGTGGAAACAGGAAAAACACCGAAGATGAAAAGCAGTAAAACAACTCCTGCTGACTCGTCTCCCATCAAAGCCAAAACCAGCATGACTTCCTCCCTGAGCAGCCCCAGTAAAAAACTCACTAAGAAACAGCAGAAACTAGCAGAAGCGGCCAAAGACATGCGCCGTATATCACAGTATTTTGGAAAAAAGCAAGTGGACACCACTCAGACGAAAGCAGGAAGTGTTATATCAGAGCCTGAGGAAGAAGGATCTCAGAATCACTCTCCTTTGCCAAATCACACCGACTTAATAACAAAGAATAGCACGTCTACAGATGTAGAAAGCGTCTCAGAGAATGTCACTGCTGTTCTTCTGCAAAAGAGTCCATCTGCAGAAGAGACGGCCAACCGAGACGGGACGCCCATGAACACTGAGATCACAGCAGATCAAGCGGTTCAGGGGTATGACGGAGGAAGACGCTCTCTGAGAGCAGTTTGATATTTATTTAACATGACTTTTGAATGTGTTCTGAACTGTTGTTTCTTTGTCCAAACAGAGAGAATCACGAATCTGACGCCCACCGAAAATCACCAAAACAAGTAACACCACAATTACTCTTTATCAAAGGGGTCATATCATGAGAAACATTGTAAAGGGACCTCAGGGAAACATTTAATTATTTAAAAAAAAAAAAAAACGTATGATGTATGACCCCTTTAACACTTTTTAGGAGCTGTTTGTCATGTCAGTAGTTTTTATCCGTACGTTTTTTGATCTGTTTCTTTTCCACAGTCACATGAGAACGGATCACCGTCTCCTCCTGCGAAACGCAGCCGCGTGATGAAGGACACTAAGAGAGTGACCTTTGACCCGGTGGTGCAGGAGACGCAGTTTGACGCAGTGAATGGAGACGCCGCTGAGATCTCACAAAAGCCTGTGACACTCAAAGAAGCTGCTGATATCGTGGTGCGATGCCTGGATCCGTTCTACAAAAAGGGCAAATTTGCAACAAAGGTGATTTTTTTCAACTGTTGGGTCGCACGTCTGTTCTGGATGACGAATGCTAACAACAAATTTAAAAATAATAATAATGCTAACTTATAAAATAATAATACAAGAATATAATAAAAATAATTTTTCAAATTTAACTATACACTAATGTTCAAATGTTTGGGGTTGCTAAGATTTTTTTTTATATTTTTGACTGCATTTGGTACAGTGTCAATGTAAAAAAAATGAGGGATGGCAGACTTTTATTAGACTGAGTTTCATTTTTAATCATTTCCCCCAGGATTTGTTCAAATCCTTTGCCCGTTTCCTCTCCCATCTTCTCACGGAGGGAAAAACTGCAAATCGAGGCCAAGGTGAGACTATCCTTAACCTCATAAAAATCCAACAACAACATCACACATTTTTCAAGTGCTAATTTAGCATTGCTCGTTTTTCCCCACAGTGAAGATGGAAGCAAAGAGCCTCATCAAGGGCTTCTTCAGCAGGATTCAACGCTGTGAGAGCGAGACAGACTGGAGACACTTGAAAGTCGAGGACAGATAGCCATCTTCGTCATTATGTCCCTTCATCCAAACCTCTGGAGCTCTACCGATCCCTTTATTGTCAGAGATGCCGTGTGTTTAGCAGCATGCTGCTGTATATCTCAGGTTTATGGTGGCGGCCTAAGCGTACATTGCACATTAATATGAACTGCTATGAAAAATGCTGTTTTATTTTTGAAGTCAAGCAACAGACCGCAATAGCTGTTATGTAGCATTAGTTGCTTATAAAGCACTCAAAGTAGTATGAGCTGTAATGAAAACTACATTAAAAGGCAAACGTGCACAAATGGAAGAATTCATGCTGAATAATTTATGGGGCGTAATTGGTAAGTTGCTTGTCTTTGCTTGTCCGGTTTTTCCAGCAGCCTCGGCTTGCCGAAATATTTTCCGCATTCATTTTCTCCACAGGGATTACAAAAGATTCCTACATGTTTAGGCCATGAACCAAACCAACCAACTCCCAGATGAATCACAACAATAGATGTGTCCCAGTTTGCATACTTATGTACTATTCTATGTCATTTTGTAGTATAAATAGTGTGATTAGTTTAAAATTTCAAAACAAAAAAGCGCATGCAAATACCAGAATAATGCACTTAATTCGATGAACTGTTGCAGCTTTAATTACTTCATGGTGGAGGAGGGGCTCCAATCAATCAGATGTTGGACGACTAAAGAACCTTCTAACATTCTAGACGGTAAAGTCCATAGTGTATAGTGTGTCATTTGGAAAGCAAACTATTGTAATCTTGTACTTTTGACATCTTTTATGAGTGCAAGAACTGCACATCAGCATTGCAAATTGATATAATGGACCCTTTTCACAAGACTGATGACGCGTTTCAACGGTCATCGGCATCGTAAATCCTCGAAAGTTTTTTATATTTTGATTTAAAAAAAAAATGTATGTACATTTTTAACACTATACTTTGTATTATACCACCTTTGCATGCAGAAAAAACTAGTTAACGCTAATGCGAGGGTGTTTCTAATGCAGCGTTTCTGGGAGGGATGGTAAATTTGACATTGTTCTCTCTTCTGACTACTTTTATCAGCCTCTCAATTTTTTTCCTTTTTTTTTTTTGAAAGTCACGAAAACATTATCGTGGAGTTTTTCTTTTGCTTTTTGAGCAAATGGGAATGCAAAAAAAAATATTTGTGGTACTCTCCCATTCACTGCTCTCGAAGTTTACCCAACTATGACGACTTCCGCTGCTGAGAAACCCGGAAATGTGGAAAAAGGTCCATTGGATCCGAAACAACTGCTGTTGCTTTACAGCGACTTTTGTTTCTGTAACAACCGCAACTTCTCTGATTGGTGGATCTCGCTTCAGGATTATGGGTAGTGTAGTTCTTCACTGGGAATTCAGCTATTAATGCTTTTGTAAAGTATAGTTCACTCTGCCTTCTACAGAAGGATAAATCATCACTTACCTTTGAGGTCTGTCTTGAAATGTATATGTTTTTGTTAAATATCAGCACTTTATGAAGCAAATGAATGGGGTTTTTACTGGGAGTTAGGAACTCGGCTGTTTTTGGTTCAATTCTCAGATATTGGTTGCCAACATCTTATAATTCATTTGTCTTGTTTTTTTTTTCCCCCTTTGCACCTAAGAAATACCCAAGTCTCAGTAGAAGAGCAGCAGCGCTGGCGGGAGAAATTACGATTCCCACCATGACGAAGGTTCTGCGTGGTAAATTGAGTCATGAATATTAATAACCTTAGGTGACGTGTCAGTTAATTTCTCAGTGGCAAAGTTTTTGCTCGTGCGTAATAAATAGAACTTGATGTTTGCATGTGTCTCTAAAAGTTGGATCTTATGGTCAATTTTACTAGGATGTCAAAAATAGTCTGGTATTTAATTTTAAAAATCAAAAGTAGTAGCTAAAATACATTAAAAATAATATATAGTATCCTTATTTCCAACTCTTAATTTCAAAGTTAAACATAACTAGGCTATTTTTGACTGACTTCAACTCAATCGGCTATGATTTAACTATTGAATATTAATTACGTCGCATGGACGTAGCTTAAAAGCTCTACCAATGGCGAACGCGTGTTTTGTGAATATTAAAAGAGGCTGTTGACGTGGCTCTGTAACCGTCCAATGGCGAAGGGTTCGCTCGTGAATATTAATAGAAATGCCTTCCCTATGGTACTTTATCTGTCGGGCGAAACCAACGGGGTGTTGTTGGGAACTGGGATGAGGAGCGATATCAGCGCTTTGCACGGCAGTGGGAGGAGTTGAGTGTGACAGAACTAAATGGCAACAGCGTGATATATATATATATATATATATATATTTTTTTTTTTGTATTAAGTAGGAAATTTCAAGTCAAGCGCGCTGTCATTGTTGCCTTGCCGCTGCGTTGAGCGGATCCCTCGATGCTGCTCCAGGGGACATTTATTTAGCAAGAAACCGTGAAAATAGGTGGATTAAAAAGTGTGTTTTAACGCTGCTTTTCCCTGTTCGCCTCTTTAAAAACTCTGTTTTCCGCAATTGTAAGTGTGCGGCATAAGCGCCAGGAAAAGTCAGATGTTGCAGCCTCATCCTGTGTTATTTTTATCGCTTTGATAGATCGGCGCATCTTTGCGCTTCCGGCGTTAACCGCGACACACTGATGCTCCGAGCCGGCAGGATGGACGAGTTTGTGACGGAAGAAGATGAGCCGTGGTACGACCAGAGAGACCTGGAGCAAGGTGAGAGAAAGACACCACAAACCGCATCAGTTTGACAACAAAGCCTGCTGCTGCTGCTGCTGCTGCTGGTGTGTGTGTGTGTGTGTGTGTGTGTGTGTGTGAGTGTGTGTGTGTGATCGAATGACAAACCGTGCACAAAGAAAGTGCTCATTGTGTGTAGAAACAATGCTTTCCTCTGTCTTCAGAGAGGGATTTGTCTTGGTCGTGTCATATTTGGATGCACAATCAGAAATCAGGGATGAGGTTGAAGGTTAAAGATGCATCTGTGATGACTGTAAATGGATGACGTCTTCCTCAGGATCTGTGTCAGTCCAGATGCTCAACATTAGCTGAGTCTGGTTTAATCTCCTCATCATAAACTGGGTCTGCAGTGTCAAAGCATTAGTGTGTTATTTTCACAGTAGCGAGTACAGATGCATCAGCCAGACAAGGATGTTTGTGACCCTGGACCACAAAACCAGTCTTTTTTTTTTTAATTGAGCTGAATAAATAAGCTTTCCATTGATGTATGGTTTGTTAGGATAGGACGATATTTGGTTGAGATACAACTATTTGAAAATCTGGAATCTGAGGGTGCAAAAAAATCCAAATATTGAGAAAATCGCCTTTAAAGTTGTCCAAATGAAGTCAAGTGCAATGCATATTATTAATCAAAATTAAGTTTTGATATATTCACGGTAGGAAAGTTACGAAATATCTTCATGGAACATGATCTTTACTTAATATCCTAATGATTTTTGGCATAAAAGAAAAATAGATTATTTTGATCCATACAATGTATTGTTGGCTATTGCTACAAATATACCCCAGCGACTTAAGACTGGTTTTGTGGTCCAGAGGCACATTTGGGCTTGTTTTGTTTGGATAATGTATGGTGCACTGGTCTGAATTTCTTCTGAGCGTTATTTAGTGATAGATTTATCCAGCTCAAACATTTCATCAGCTAGTAGAAAAGAGTTGTTCTCTTATCTAGTCATTATTAGGAACAACTGGAAAAGCACTGTGAACTCGTTGGTCAAATAGGAGCCATGCACATTTGATTTCTGGACTGAATGCTGATCATAAAATGCAACAGCTGTTTCACATTTCAGATTGGATTATTTTCCAGTAGTCCGATCATACTCAAAGAAGTGCAGTTACTTCAATGTCATCACGTTGTGTCTGAATGAGAAGAGGATGGACGGCACAGACACGCCTCTCTCTGTGGGTTTAGGATGATGTCATTGCCCTCTGGATTGAATCGCCGTAAAATGCTGATCCATAGAACAGCCCGTGACCGATCTCTGTGACTTTCAGGACACGCTGTTATGCTGCACTCTAGAAGTGATGAGCCAGGAACTGTATTTTAAATCTGAGAGAGCTGTCCTGTGGTTGTGCAGTCAGTGGGATTGGAAAGGAAGGCAAATGGAGAATTTGGGGAATCTGGAGCAGTGGTCTTTTGGCTGAGGAGGCGCTTCGTTGGGAACGAGTCTAGTTATTCCTCTCTGGAAGTAATGAAATAACCGCGATCTTTGACTTTGACATATTCCAGATTAGATTCGAGCAAAGATTTTATGTTGCTATATAGATTTAATTTTTTTCTAAAATTGAATTTTCTGACTATAAATGTACCCTGCAGTGTAGTAAATGCTGCTCCATCTGAAAGCATGTGATGATGATTTACTGCTGATTACAGAACCGGCATTACTAACAAAATGTGCATGACAATCGCATTCGATTAATCGTGCAGCCCTACCTGCAGGTATAAAACACACCTGTGATATAAATGAATGCATCTTGACATTGTCTAAGAACACTGCTTATCTGCAGTAAGCTTACCAGTGTTATTTTAGTATCATTGAGATGCTATTATAGTTTGTATTAATATTTAAAATGAGAAATCGCACATAGTTAAAACAACAATTACGATATTATTGCAGACGATATATATCGCACACCCCTAGTACACATACGTATATTATGTAAACAAAAACATTTATTTTGGATGCGATGAATCGTGATTAATCGTTTGACAGCACTAGATTTTATAGTTCCTGTTTTACATTTTCATTTTAAAGCTTTAATAATTTTGTTGTAATTTTAATGAAAAACTGTAACAAAACAATTTAAAAACCTAAAAATTATAATTTTATTAGTTTTACATTTCTATTGTTTCTTATTAATTTTATTCTAGCTTTAATTTTAGTTAAGTACATCAAGTTAAACTAAATGAAAATGAGATGTGTTGCTTTTTTATGATTTTATTTTATTTTATTTTTTTTTTGTTTGTTTCTGTAATAACTCTGTGACTTACTGCTTAAACCCATTTTAGCTTAGAATAATGCTTAATTTCTCTATACTTATTTTAGTATGTTATCGTATGTCGTCTTATCAACTGCATTGGCTCACCTGCACCATTATTGTAATATGCTTTGTTTGCTTGTAAGACGCGCTTCAGAAATGCATCACCAGCTACAGGAAGGCCTCTAACAACCATGTTTAGAGGCATATTTTTTCACAATCAAATTAGCTGAGTAATATTCATGTACTTTGTGCTAATGGTCTAATGGAGGCCTAGCACACAATCTCTTGCAGAGACACCATATTGATCTGTTTCAGACTCTCTCAACGGTCAAAGCAATCCATCATGAGAGGAAATGCTGTTTCAGAAAGTGCAGAGTGAAATATCACCATTGCTCAGTTAGTGGCGTTTTGATAAATATCACAATGACACTCTAGTTTTGGAGTGGATTGGTGGTGTTCACCCTAGGGGCGGACAGTATGAGCGCAGTTTTATATCACTTCATCCTAAAGAGTGATTTAGCCTGCCAACCCAACAGCACTCGGCTTTAGTGTGGATTCACTCTGCCGCAGCCGTGGAGGAAAGAGAGAGATCATGCGGTGGGTAGGATTCAATATTTGACTGAGGGGAATTAAAGCTGGATGATCTGATTAGGACTCCAGACACCACTGTCTCTTTTGAAGGGATGATACAGATGGTCAGGGTAAAGGTGAAAGATGACATACTTAGCCAAGAGACACTTCAGATGCAAAGAGCACTAAGCACACAATAGATGGAGATAATCAGCCTTTATGGCAGATGACACATCTTGTACAATAGAAGTTTTGTCTCGGCACATTAGTCTATTATAGTTACATTTGGTCACGTAACGCATAATTATGTGTGATAAGCTGGTTACTTGAACAGTGGTGTTTGCTAAGGCAAACGCTGTATTGCTCATACAAAAGGGATTTAAACAAACCTCATGATGTTTACCAGATGGTTTTATGAAATATTTTCATCTTATTTATCCTAAATTCTGTTTTCCATTTTTTTTTTATTCGGAATTCCGTGGTTTAATTACATTCAGTTGAATTCATAAAAACCTTAACAGTTTAATCATTTATTACAATTTAACTATAATAGTGCCCTATGAATTTTTTTTTTCTGTGATTCTATGATGTATGATTTAATACAAAATATTATCAAAAACAATGGTATCCAAATAAGTGCATAAAACTTAAAGGGGTCATATGATGCGATTTCATTTTTTCCTTTCTCTTTGGAGTGTTACAAGCTCTTGGTGCATAAAGAAGATCTGTAAAGTTGCAAAGACTAAAGTCTCAAATCCAAAGAGATATTCTTTATAAAAGTTAAGAGTCAACCACGCCTACCTAAAACGGCTCGTTCGAACACGCCCCCACATATCCACGTCACTATCTGGGAAGATTTGCATAACGCCGCCCAAATGTTCACGCAAAGAAAGAAGTCGTAACTTTTATTCTCGCTGTAGTATTGTTGTTGCCGCTGCCGCCATGTCGTGAAGACGCTGTGTGCTTCGTTGTGAAAGCGAAACTACTTTATTTGGTCTTCCAAAAGAGGACGATATCCGCTTCGTCATGCCTAGAGCTGATCTGTGCTGGTCGCTGAGGGAATACATCAACTTAGTGCTGTGGATCGCCGGATCGGCTTTCACCGTTTTCACCGCTCCTTCGCCGGGACCGCCGTTCTCGACCCCGCCGCCTCAGCTCACTCTTGCCCAGCTTCAGCTCAGGCTAAGCCGGGGCTTTCTCTCACGCTAGGCCGCTGTGTTGTTCGTTGTGAAAGCGAAACTAACATTTCCGTCTCACGCTTGAGGTATTCGGCCAATCACAACGCATTGGATAGCTGGCCAATCACAGCACACCTCGCTTTTCAGAACGATGAGCTTTGTACAAATCGACGTGTTTCAGAAAGGCGGGGCATAGAGGAGAACAATAATGTACAGTATGTGGAAAATAATGTGTTTTTTTTACTTTAAACCGCATAAATACATTTCATTACACCAAATACACAAAATAATGTTCTTTTTAGCAGCATCATATGACCCCTTTAAACAAAAATGTATTCCTTTTAAAATTTAAGTCTGAAAAATGTAAATTGTTTTTGGCAAACAAAGTTCTGCACAACAGTTTTACTGTTTAAATTAAAACATGGATGAAAAATAGTTAATATTGTGTGATATTCCTTAAAAATAAGGTTTTATTAAACTGTATTATTGATATGATTTCTTTGAGAAGTTCTTTGTACAGTAGTATAATAAATTATGTAATATGTTTGTCATCATTTCTTAAAGTTAAACCAAACTTTTATTTTGACGGTTGTAGTGAAGACCTTTGAGTTTCTGTGTATCTGACGATTGTTTTATCAAATGAAATGGTGAAATGTTCTTAAAGTGACTCTTAAGCCCTGTTCACACCAAGCATGATAACTATAAAGATAACGATAAAGATATAGTTCCAAAAATCATTCTCAATATTAAAGAATAGCAGAGTCCACACTACAACTATAACGATAAAGGCACAGATATCACTTTCAGAACGATTTTTCTCCAGCTGATGAACGATACAAACATTGACAGCCAATCAGAATCCATCCTGCTGTGACAAGCTCGAGAATTTAAAGCGGCAGACGCACATGCGCTTAGAATAAACAGACAATATCGCCCGCTGGTGTGGACGCTAATATCGTTATCTTTATTGTTATCTTTATATTTATTGTTCTTGGTGTGAACGGGCCTTTATAGAGCAGCTCTGGAGAAGACGTTCATGTGGTGTATCAGTGTTGGCTGCATTACTAAGTAATAAATTACTTTTCCCTTGAAAAAAGTAAAGTAAGGGATTACTCTTAATTTTTGTTGTTATTTAATAACTTCTGATGTAACTGTATTAAAGACTGTGTAGACTACAGAACAATTCTGTATAAAACAAAAGTGGTTTTCACATCACAATTTAACATCTAATGTTAAATTGTATGTAACCTTTACCCTTTAAATACTTTGGTCAGTTCAAGAATAATTTATGCAATTTTTGTATTTATTTGAAAGAATTTCAAAGTTTGATATTTGTATTTCAGCAGCACAGATACTATTCCACATCGCCATTTGATTAAATGTAAAGCCCTCCTTTTGATTTGTTCATCCACTTTTTGCTGTGAAATTCTGTGTTAAATAGTAAATTGCATTTTAATGACTGGATTCCGTAATTCTGTCCACGTTTTCCATACTGCGTGAATCATAGGTTGCAAATGGCTCTGCTCTTGTTTTGGGTTTGCTGTCATGTGTTGTGTGTGGATATAAAACCACACATGCAGAAATGTTGAGTGCACATGAGGCCTATATATGTCCTCCAGCCTCAGGCGAGTGAGGCATGCTGAGCTCGTGTGCCTGGTAACGTGCATGTTAGGTTGAAAATACTCTTCAAAAGAGCAAGTTCTCTTTGGGAAAGTTAATTAAGGAAAAATCCTTAATTGGGATGTGGGTCCTCAGAGATCACAGCTGACCTTGTTTCACGGCTGTTACTAAAAATGTCTGAATATCAGATTGTGCTGTTATTATGATTGATGAGAATTCACTGCTCTGACATGAGACCAATAGTAACGTGTCAGTAATAGAGTAAGGATGCACAATAATCATAACCATGCTATCTGTTTTTTTTTATTTTTTAGAAATTATGCAAATGTTCTATTTCAAAATATTTTTGCCTCAATTATCATGAAAATTAGGTTATGGCTAATATCACAAATTATTTTGTGATTATTATTTAAAATAATGATTAACCCATAAAGGTTTTTTTTTTTTTAACTGATGGCTTTTATCTAGAGAGCAGATTGGTAATATATAATAATGCAAAGATGTGCACAACATTACTGAATTAACATGTATATAAAATACTTTTTCTTTAAAATCGTGGCAAATTTTGAGACTAGTCAGGATGACCACTTATGTGAATTGACACTTTTATTGGCGTTCATGTTAAAAAACACAACTGGCCAATATGTCACTCTGGGGTTTGTTTCCCAAAAGTTTTGTTTGCCAACTATGGTCATAAGTTCCATAGATAGCAACATAGTTTAATGATTTGGTGTTTCCCAAAACCATATTTCCAATGAACATTGCAAACGTGTGTGGTTGAAACTACAGCTCTTGACCTGTGGTTAGAAGAATAGTTAGTTAGTATGAGATCATGCTCTTGGGCAAAATAAACAAGCTAACATATGGTACATTCTGTATATTTTATTCCATATATACACATTTCATTCTACGTCTTTTAGTTTGTCAAGAGAATGAAAGCACCATTATTGAAGAGTGCGCATGTGTGAATGTGCTGTAAATATCCTGGAGTATGACATAACCAACCCAGGCTCATTAGAAATACGTGCCTCTAAATACATTTATGCAACACCGTTATTTTGTACCTTACTGCACATTTCGTGGCAGTTTCAAAGTGAAACGTCCAGTGAGTGGCGCTAAAACGAGGGTTCAATACGTGACCCTGGCACGTATTTGTTACGTATTGCTGTGTTTTTATTATGTTGCTTCTGGTACGTATTACGGTGGTTCATAATTCAATAAATAACCAGGGAGTGTCGCTAAAAGTTAATACTCTATCGTTGGAAATATCCCCTACACCAAACCCAACCCTAAACCTACCCGACGGGGAGTGTCACTAAAAGTTAATGCTCTTTCGTGTTGGAAATATCTCCTACACTAAACCCAACAATAAACCCACCCGATAGTATTAACAAATGCAAATGGTGTAAAAACGGATATGTTGATGCAACCGTGCCATTTGAACTTCCTTATATGCAGGTTTGAACTGTTTTGTGGAACCGTAGTTTTACGGAATTCGCACACGAGCTCTTCACCTCATAAGTCGAACTCTGTACTCTTACTGCGTGAATATATATTTTTAAATATATATTTAATTTACACAGCGAACAATGTAGTTTTCACGTATTTGTTACGTATTGCTGTGTTTTTATTATGTTGCTTCTGGTACGTATTACGGTGGTTCATAATTCAATAAATAACCAGGGAGTGTCGCTAAAAGTTAATACTCTATCGTTGGAAATATCCCCTACACCAAACCCAACCCTAAACCTACCCGATAGTGTTAACAAATGCAAAACTGGTATAAAAAACGCATTTGTTGATGCAACCGTGCCATTTGAACTTCCTTATATGCAGGTTTGAACTGTTTTGTGGAACCGTAGTTTTACGGAATTCGCACCCGAGCTCTTCACCTCACAAGTCGAACTCTGTACTCTTACTGCGTGAATATATATTTTTAAATATATATTTAATTTACACAGTGAACAATGTAGTTTTTTTTTATAAGCTACATTTGATTGCTTTATACAATGCATGTAGCGTTTCTTATTTATTTGTTCTACTGTAGTTTTTGTCCAATTGCTTGTAATTCTTATTTAATTCCTGACTGTTTACTTGTCTTCAGTAAGCTTTTTTTTTGTGATATTGACACTGGTGACATAGGAATTATGACATTTCTATGGTATCAAAAAGTTTGATGTCAAAGACCTTACACTGAAAAAAATTATACTAAATTTTTTTAAGGTAAGAAGTTGCAAACAATTTATTTTAGCTACATTTAAAAAAGAATGCTGAAAGTTAGTCAACTAAATTTGTTTATTCAAATGTAGCTAAAATGAATTGATTGCAACCACTTACCTTAAATTTTTTTAGTAAATTCAATTAATCTTTTTTTTCCAGTGTATTTAAAGCAAAATAACTATATTGTGATACATATCGTTACCATGAAATAGAATTACTTATATCGTGATATTAAATTTTGGTCATATCACCCACCCCCAGTGCAAACAGAACTATAAACAAACCCTACATAAAAATGAGAAGTATTGTCTTCAGGAACAGGTAAGGCTATAAAACAACAAACAAAAGAGCACTAAATATATATAGTACTTAGCAGTCAGATGTCCGTATGCACAAAGGCACAGATCCCTAAACAAGGCCATATCTTCAGATGAAACTTCTTTGTAGAAGCATTTTTTTTTATTTGAACGAGCACCTCATGACTACACCACGTTATGTACGAGAAGCTGCAAAAGACACTGGCTCAAGTGGAATGTAAAAAACATGGTGACATTAATTTTTTAAGTAAACATAATGGGCGATATATTGCGTCACCAAAATGTATTGAGGTCATGTACATATATTGCACGATAAGTCGATATATTGATTATTGCAACAGGGCCTAGTAGCAAGTTCCTGTACTTGCTTACAGCAGCAGCAATAATCTACAATTACAGCAATAACCAACAGCAGCAGCAATTCAGCAGCAGCGTAGCAGATCTATTCCGCCAAGACCAAATACATTAACATTGTCATATCCATCAGCATGCTAAAATCTTCTGAGAGTTGTCATGATTGAACTGGTGTTATGAAGTCTAATTAACCTGGCAGAAAAATGAAAGCAAATAAAACCTTTATTGACACAACAAAACAGTAGGTTAATACTAATAGCTATTATATCGTTTTTCAGTCAGCCGATATCAGTATCAGTCAATAGGTGCATTCCTATAATCTACTGCAGTTAAGCCACATGCAATGAAATGGCTTTTTAAATGTAGTATGTGTCCTCAGCTCTGTGTTTTAAGCACTATTATCTGTTTCTCTCCAGCAGACTCTCATGGGATCAGTTTCCACACACACACACACACACACACACACACACACACACACGGAGGAAAGTGTGTTACACTGTGGCACTAAACGCTCTTGTATGATTTATGCGTGTGGTGCTCTGTGTTTCCTCCCTATAGTATGTTTGCGTTGGCTCTGACACGTCTCATCTCATGATAAATCTCTGCATTCATATCAGTGTAATGGAGGTCAATGATTCCGAGCTCAATACTTCACCACCTCCCACGATGTCACTTCCTCCCTGTGTGTGTGACACCGTCTCTGTTAGCATGTTCCCTGGGTATTAAAACGCCTTCTGAGTGGACTGGAGGACTGTGTTTGTGTCTCTGTCATAAGCGAATCATAAGGACAGCAGCCTCAATACAACAATAAATAGCATTGTGAGCCAGTGCTGCCGAGAATTCACAAAAGTAAAGTGACATTTGACGTTAAAATACATTTTATCACAGTTATACGTGCAACTGTAAGCCTTTCATTGGAGATTCTGGTCTTTAAACATATTCAAGTAGACAGTATCTTGAGATTGTGTCATTTTTAGTTCTATGTTTTAATAAAAAAAGTGTCAGAAGGCCAAAATCCAGACCTTAACATGACATGATTCCACATGTTTCTTTTGTCGCTGCATTGCATCTTCTTTTTAAATCAGCTGCTGTATTTGAAGTTCAAAAAAGTACAGTCAAAATTGTGGTGGGTTCTGTTTAATTTCCCCCATAGAAATGAATGGTTAGCTATGGTAACCAGGATTTGTTTTGTTGCAGATCCCCTTATATTGTACTGTTTTTATCCCAGATCTGCACTTGGCAGCTGAGTTGGGGAAAACCCTGCTGGAGCGCAATAAGGAGCTGGAGGACTCGCTGCAGCAGATGTACATCAACAATGAGGAGCAGGTGCAGGAAATCGAGGTACAGACCAGCCGGACATCTGCATGAGCACCAGCGTGATGAGCTGTTTGTGGCTGTGAATACATCATTTCCTGATCCAAAACATTCACATAATTATGCTTATTTATGAACTAGTTAGACGTGTTTCTCAAAACTAAGTTCAGTACTGTTAAAACGGTTAACAGCCATCAAAACAAAACACAAATTGACAAAAAACAGCCTGTATGTTGTGTTAATTTTTCATACTTTAGCAGTGAATTGAATTTTATTCCATTTTATTTCAGCGTCCTTAAATACAATTAGAATTCTGCATCTTGTTTGCTGCCCAAATTCAAATTTAGAAATACAATGATTCTCAATGACATTCTTAATTGCGCTCAAACCTGTCGAGACCTCTGACCTGCATGTCTCAGTGAAGAATAATTTCCCTTGATTTCCTGTCAGTGCTTATCTCCCGATGAGCCAATTACACATCAGCATGATGCTAATGGAGTGCATGACAGCCGTCGCCTGTCTGTGTGCCAGATCCTCTGAACAAAGACTCTATTACTTATCTGAGAACAATGAGGTGCTGTTTCTCGCATCTGTTTGAATACTGGTCTCATTCTGTATGGATTGCACAACATTTCGATATTTCAGACCGGTAATGCTGGAACTGTTATGTTTTGGCTGCTGCCGTATGAATACAAGCACTGAGAAAAATGAAATGTAAGGGGTTTATGGTCTTAATCTTAGTGAAGGAAAGTTCAATGTAATATTGAACACAAAAACACATTTCACAAGAGATTACCAAGCTTTCCACAAGAATGTCATTTCATAATGGCTTGAACACAGGTGCCAGGTTTGTTTAACACTGACTCCATCATATGAGGAAAAAAAAACTACTGCTGTCAGACGATTAATCGCATCTAAAATAAACGTTTTTGTTTACATAATATATGTGTGTGTACTGTGTATATTTATTATATATATGTATATATAAATACAAACACGTACATGTATATATTTAAGAAAAATATGCTATGTTTATATGTTCAATATATTTATATATAATATAAAATATAAGAATATAAATATATACATGTAAATATTTTCAAAATATTTACTGTGTATGTATTTATATATACATAATAAATATACACAGTACACATGCATATATTTTGTAAACAAAAACTTTTATTTTGGATGCGATTAATCGCGATTAATCGTTTGACAGCACTAATAAAACAAAGATATTGTAGTATTTCTCTATCAAAATATTATGATTAAGAGACTCATTCCATTTAGCAGTTTTTCATGAACATTTCTGATTAGGTTTACATAATATCAGCATTTTGAATCAATTTACTAATACAGATTGATTCACTAGCTATGCTTCCAACCACCAATTTTTATGCACATTTTAGGATATTGTGAAAAAAACCCCAGCTGAATGGAAACACCAAGATGCGAATAAATTCTAAAAATGCGCATAAAAAAACTTACACGCTCAACTAAGTAGGATAAATTTCTTATCCGGTAAGAAAACATGCGTATAAACTACGATGGAAACCTTTTACCTAATAAATTCCTTAATGTGCATTAAAAAAGACGTGACTTTGCGATGGGACAGCATACTTGGACCAACCAACAGACTGATCTCATTGCACAGCATCTGAAATACTAGTTTTTTTTGTCATTCTAAAATGCTTGAGCAAGTCTCGTCAAAGTACTTCGTTATAATTAACTCCCGGTTATGCGTTCCCAAACAGCAGGCTCCGAAAATAAGATAACATGACCGCGTTTCGTCTGCGCGCTCTGAAGCTCGTAATTTATTGTAAATTATTATATACTGTGCCTTCTCCTACTGCAGCAAATAACATTTTCTGTGTGATATTTAGTGCAAGTTAATCAGGAAGTGATGATTTTGTTCTCTTCAGCTCACTGGATGGAAATGGTGCTTTATTCGCAAATGTTTTATGCGAAATTCCAATTTTGCGCATAAGTTTAATTCGTAACTTTGGATGGAAACATTACTGATTTATTCAACTACTGAAGTTCAACTCTATTAAAACATCGTGTATATGATAATGAACAAACACAAAACTAGTCTGACGCGCCCTTAAAAAAATTAAATGACCAAATAAAAAGCGTATTCACTAATATTTACAGTGCTGCTTAAGTTTATAGCATATTTTGCATATATGGCATGGCGGGCTTATGCATGTGTCTCTTTGTGTCAGTATTTGACCAAGCAGATGGAGATGTTGCGCGAGATGAACGAGCAGCATGCTAAAGTGTACGAGCAGTTGGATGTGACGGCTCGAGAGCTGGAGATAACCAATGAAAAACTGGTGCTGGAGAGCAAAGCTTCTCAGCAGAAGATTGACAGGTGAGCCATACGTTATAAGAGCATCATGCGAAACACACTACACAATGAGGATTTCAGAAGTATTGGTACTTCAGTACCGAAAATTTGCAACAATACCAGCTCATCTATTGTATCTCTCCAACACTCACAGGTTCCTTAAATCAAAGTCTTACTCTGGCAAAGGCTCAGCTCATGAATATTAATTTGGTCATGCTGACTTTGCATTATAACCTTCCTGGAACAATTAAATTCCTGGAACAATTCATATTCATGAGCTAAACCTTTGCTATAGGAGGAATCATTCATTATCTGACTAGTTCTCACTTACCATTTTTTGCCTTCAGGAAAAAGTAGTGATGCTGTGACATGACAGTCCCAACACTACAGCCTTGAAGTTTTTTCTCTGTATTCCTTTTTCAGTTATTAAAGGGTTAGTTCACCCAAAAATGAAAATTAGGCTGCGTTTTACTCACCCTCGAGGCATCCTAGGTGTATATGACTTTCTTCTTTCAGACGAATCCAGTCGGAGTTATATTAAAAATGGTCTTTGATCTTTCAAGCTCTATCGTTGCACTCAGCGGGTGTTGCAGTGCTTCAGTCCAAAAGACGTGAAATAAAAAGCACCCTTCCATAAAATAAAGTGTCTCACGCTGCTCCTGGGGGTGAACAAAGGCCTCCTGTAGCGAATCGATGCGTTTTTGTAAGAAAAATATCCATATTCAATACGTAATAATCACTTTAATCTAGCTTGCGCTCACTGTTGTAAACGAAGCAGTTCTGGGCGGATGACGTAAGAGGTCGGCTTTGCGCATGCGCAAGTCTCGTGAAAACCAACGTTTGTTTACAGGATCAAAAGAAGCAAAGTTTCCTTACTTTAGCCGTGTGGGACACTTTTTTTATGGAAGGGCGCTTTTTATTTCACGTCTTTTGGACTGAAGGAATGCAACACCCGTTGAGTGGCGTTAAACAGCTTGAAAGATCAAAGACAATTTTTAATAGAACTCCGACTGGATTTGTCTGAAAGAAGAAAGTCATATACACCTAGGATGCCTCGGGGGTGAGTAAAACACAGCCTAATTTCATTTTTGGGTGAACTAACCCTTTAAAATTATATCAGAGCAGTTACATTATTTAAAGGCTAATTTTTGTATTATCAGACAATCCAATGGACAATGCCAGAGAACCTTCTGATTTGGTCTTGCTAGTCATTTTTTCAAGACTAGTCATAACTTTAAGTCTGTTATATAAAAAGGTAGACTGGTCTAGTTTGAAAGTGAAAAGTAAGACTCGTTACCCCTTGGCTAACTGCTAGTTGGTCATACTAGTTTTGTCTTAACAATGTGTTTATGCAACTGGCCCAGAGTTATGGTGGCTGGCTGATTGCAAATCTATTCTCACAGATTGACAAGTACTATGGAGATGCTGCAGGGGCAGGTGGACACGCTAACTGCTCGTGTGGAGGAGTTGCGCACTTTGGAAGAGCTCAGGGTTCGCAGAGAGAAGAAAGAGAGGAGAAAGACTGTGCACACGTTCCCCTGCCTCAAAGAACTCTGCACCGCTCCCAGGTACGTCCCGGTTTATTACGTCTGCAGTGGAGTAATGTTGTGTCATTAAAAAATGTGTCCACGGGCAAGAATGACACAAGAGACAATATTTCACTGTGGATTGTCATTTCCAAGAAAGAAAACACCGAATGAAAAAGACCTTAGTCAGGGTAGCGCCATATTTAATTTCTGACAGGAACAAAATGTGGCTGTGAGGGATAGAAGACTTTAAGTCTGTCCCTCAGCCTCATTTTTTTAAAAATAAAATTAATCAAATAAGGTTTTTATAAAATGTATCATACATTTTTATCATAAATTAAGGTTTATCATACATTTTATCATAAAATTCAATATGGCATCGTTTTTTTTATTTTATTTTGTACTGTTCTCTAAGGTCCACTTATAATGTTATCAAGATTTTTAAATCAAGAAACATAATTTAGAAGTAATTAAGAAGTTATTTTCTGTTCTGCTTTGACCCCCCTCATTGGAACACTGTTTGAATAGGCGTGGCGGATTAAAGTCAGCATGAAATTAATATTTTTTAAATGTACCTTATGGATCTTATTGCAAATTATTAATTTTTTTTAACCTTCAATTTTTTTATCAAAATAACTCTTCATCAATATAATAAGTCTTCTCTCTGGTGACACCTGCCGGACTTCTCCAGTCATTTAGTCTTATTAAATTTCCCCCCCTACAAGCTTACGCTCACCTTCTTCTATCTTGCTCGCGTTCATCTTCCTTCCTTCCAATTAACAGCCAATGCACACAACCAAGTTCTGCCCAACATTTTTCTTTTTTAGAAATCTGTTACACTCAGATGTCAAAATACAGAAGATCTGTCGCCACATCCATTACATTGTGACTTTAAAAATGTCTAACCATGCAACATTATTGTTGGTCTCTAAACCCGAAGTTTCTGTTCTTTGAATCCATCTTTGTGTGGTCTTTGTGCCTATGGTTTGGTGTTTCTTTTCCAGGTACGAGGATGGTTTCATGGTGTCTGACCCAGGCAGCGGTGACCTACAAGTGTGTCAGCCTGCTGACGAAGTGAACGAACATCTGCGTGTGATGGTGTCATCTTTGCGCGCCTCTGTGGCGGCCGAACGCGGACGGCGCGAGGCCGCTGAGCGGGAATGTGGCACGGTGCTACAGGAGTTTGAGCGGCTGGAGCAGCGCCTCATGGGGGCCGAGAATTGCCAGCGGCGCGTGCACGAGCTAGAGGCGGAGCTCCAGGAGATGCAGCAGCTCCGCAAGTCCCGAGCCTGCCTCCTGAGCGGAGACGAGGGCCTGGAGCAGACGCTGCTCAACTGCGCACCCGAGACGGACACGCCGGAGGATGCAGTTATGGCTGGAACGCAGAACGGTGATGCGAATGATGGAGCTGCACCCGTCCGGAAGAGTTGCAGTGATACGGCTCTAGATGCCATCTCTGCGGTCGACGCCTCAGGGAGACGCAAAGGCAGCTACGCGCTTCACGCCAACGGTGTCCGGAAGAGGGGCATGTCCATCCTCCGAGAGGTGGATGAGCAGTATCACGCCCTTCTGGAGAAGTACGAGGAGCTGCTCGGGAAGTGTCGGCGCCACGAGGAGAGTCTATGCCACGCTGGGGTGCAGACCTCCCGGCCCGTGTCCAGAGATCCGTCCATGAAGGAATGCAGGGCTGCAGAGCCCCAGCAGCCGCCCACTCCACCGCAGACGCCCTCGACTCCAGAGGCCCTGGAGGGCCTCAGCCGGCAAGTGGAGGCTGTGGACAAGCGGCTGAGCCACAACACTCCAGAGTATAAAGCCCTCTTCAAGGAGATCTTTTCCCGCTTACAGAGGACCAAGAGCGACATAAACTCCACCAAAGGGAGGAAAAGCGGAAAATAGCCCATTTGATTTCTGATTTCTTTCCCTTGTCTTTCATGTAATGTCTTACTTTTTTTTTTTTTAAACTAGTCAGAAAGAGGTTTAGATACATCTGTTATTTAGTACAGCTCATACATGAATTATTTGGTGCCACACATCAAGAGATAAATGGTGGTTTTCTGGACGTTTTGAGTCTAATGTGCTTTTGCCGGGTTGGCCGTTTAGGGTAGACCAAATTACTTACTATCGGTTAAAATGTAACCATAATCACCCTAAAGTTGATCAAGCACAGGAAGACATGATTATTTCCTTTCTCACATGTATTACATGTTACAGATAACCACAGCATTGTGTAACCACTTTTGTTCAATATTAAATCACACTTTGCAAGGTTGTTTGATACATTTATTACCATGAGCGTGGATGAATGAGTGGAGTGATCAGGATGGATCGGCTGTAGGGTTGTGTCTAGATGGAAACCCTTGTTCTGTGAAAAATCTCACATGCAACATTTGAAGACTCTTGCAGCAATCCTTGTCTTCATGTACCGCCCACAGGCTGACCACATGATGCACATTTCACACAAAACTGGCCCGCAATAGCAGAAAACCACTAGTTCTAATCTGGCTGACTTTATGTAATGTCTGGGAGTTTGGGTGAATCCACAAGGAACTAAAGGTGCTCACAAAGTTGCTGTAATCGAGGAAGCACTAGTTACAGGACTTGTTAAGGTTTATCAGGTTAGTGCCATCAGGTCTTGCTCAGAAGATATCCAGAGTGTTGTTTTAGGCACTTAATAGTAAAAGACACCAACAAGCAGAACTTTGAAGTTTATAGCAACTGGTTCTTTCACTACCAGATACACTGATCACAAAGTCTCCATACATTTGTTTCTACATCGGCCCATTTTTGGTGTTGTCAACCATTTTGAGTAACCCCATTCCTCATAAAGCTGAAAATATACTTCCCTTGTAGCCCAATTTTTGTGTCTGCGTGGACAACCGGTCCAGTAGGTCAGGGATGGGCAGCTCCAGTGTCCTGCAGAGTTTAGCTCTATCCCCATTTAAACAGTTCAGGGATCAGGACTACACTCTGCAGGTCACTGAACCTCCACAACCAAAGTTGCCCATTTCTGCACTAGGTAGTATGCTTGCACTGAACAGGCCCATCCACGCTCATTGACAACGGATCATACTTTGAATGGCTGGTGTGCTCAATGGAGTGAACACAGACTAACCAGACCTTATGCCAATAATCAGCAGTCCTAAGCTCGGTGGCACCAAGTTTTAATAGTAAAGTTTTGCAGAACAAGGCTTACCATCTAGACCTCACCCTGAAGTAAAAAAACAAAAAAAACAATGGTACAGCATTCATGTTGGTAAATGGAAGACAAAAGAAACTGTCTGTTCTGAACACTTTAATATTGACACAGGTGAACGGTAATCTCCAGCTATTATAGAGATAAGTACAAACAGATGAAGACAGAAGCAGCATTCTGGACCAGCACAACAAGCTACTACTTTGGCAAAGGAAAAAAAACAAGCGTGTATAAAACAGTACAATTATGCATGAGCACATCCTCTCTTGTTTGAGCATTGAGGTTAGATTACACCTGGACTAGAGCGGAGAGTTTAGATTTAGGTTAACTCCAGATTTGTCCCACTACAAATGCACCTCCTTTAGAGTCCTGACTTTCTTTCCATTATATTTACAGACCGGGAGCAGCTCGTAGTTGTCGATACTGGAGGCAAAGTCTACGGTGTTGGTAATTTTTCAGCTGAGTTGTTCAATACTTGAGATCTGTTAGTGAAAACAGCCCTTTTCTGCTTGTTAAAAACCGGCAACTCACGTTAATCACAAGCAAAGGGCACATTCTGCAAATGAAGCACCAGTTGTCTTTGGAAAGCGGGAGGTGATAACTGGAGTGGGGAAAATGTTCACTCTGCATCAAGGCTCACCAACTTCTACCTACCTACAAGTTTGGTCCATCTCGAATCGAGCCGATTGAACAAGGCAGCAGGTGTGACTGCCGGAGGCAAGAGTCGGTAATGCACCTTAGCCTCCTAAGGACAAAATATCTGATCGGATTTAAACCTAGAATCTTAAAAGGCAGCTCCTCAATGTCTTGCTACAGGAATCGTTTTTAAGGCCACATGGCGATGAAACGGTTAAACAAAAAGCCTATGCCGTCACCGCAGGGCAAGGCTGATTCTTAGTACGGCTCCCCTAGTGGACAGGATGTTCAGATCCTGCGAACCCTACATAGCTAAAACCATATTTGGACACATTCATACAGAGAGCGTAGTAAAGACCTCCTCCGCCATATTAACACTAACATTTCTACAGTTACCCATGCTACGCTAACCCTAGGCTCATCTCAAAGGCATCGGACATGTTCCCTCTGGGCAAAGGCAAACTTTTGAGTTCTCCCATTTCACTCATAAAGGCAGATCATGGTTAAAAAGAAAACAAGGAATGTCAGAGAAAGGAATGACGTGGGATAAACGGGGGAAGGGTTTATGACAAGAGGAAGACGGGGGGCAGTGAAGATTACTCATAACAACCATGTCAAAAGTATCCACGAGGTTTTTTGAATATTTTTTCCCCTCTGTTTTTACTTTTATATACAAACAAACCAAAACACAAAATATGGATTGTGCACGTTTTTGTTTGTGTTCACATATATATTTCATGAAAAGCCTCAATACTCATTGGGAGGGAAAGGGATAGGAATATGGAGGGAGGGAAAAAAACTGGAGGAAAGTGGACGGAGTGAGAAAGATCCTTTTTCTTTAAAATCGGTTAAGCAGTTAATCCAGGATTATGATGTTGATGGTGATGAAAATGATGATGATGGAGGCAACTGGAGGAGGTTGGAGAGGAAGAAAGGGAAGAAGGGTGGGAAGAAATAGGAGGATGGCAAGAAGGAAAATGGGGGTTTGGAAACAGCTCAATCTTTCCAGTCCTTCTTGATGTTGAGGTTCCATTCCCAGGACAGGTGGTCGTGCTTGTCGTCGTCGGTGAACTTGGATTTAATGTTGTAAGTGCCGCGGGCCAGCATGCCTTTGGGTGCCTCCTCTAAAGGCGTCAGGAACTCGTATTCATTCGGTCGAGGCCCATAGCTGCCCACCATGTAGTCAGACTTGTCAACTGAACACAAGAAACAGGTGAAGAGGTTTAAATTAATCGGAGTAGACTATTTGCGAATATATGAATTAATTGTCAGTGGTTTGTTTGAGCAATCAGAGATAGTGTACGTATGTTATGGCTGGGCAATATACAAAATCTACACAATCATAACTTTTGATTACATGTTCACAGACAACCCAATTTAGGGGTGTGCGATATGTACCATCTATGATAATACTGTAATGGTTTGTTGTGGAAGCTGACATTATAGAGTATGTCAGTTCAATAAACAATTGGTTAATACTGTACATTATATTTTAGTCACCATATTGGTTTTTGCTTAATTTGGCAATGAAAATAAATGTTCCAAGCAGTCATGACAGAACCATTCCATGTCTCTGAGCAACACAGTGATGCTTCGTTACTAAATGAATCCACGATTGTGAAAGAATCGGGTGAGTCAATGATTCAACGAACTAGTAAAATATTGTGTACTTGTCATGGGGGGAAAAAATTGAGATATAATTGTTTTGTCAATGTCACACACCACTAATCATAATGCAATCATAGTGTAAATAACAAAAAGTCAATAGAGTGTATTGTTATTAGGGCTGTCAAAAAAAAAAAATCTAATTTCGAATATTCATTGAATTTAAAATAAAAATCCACATTCGAATGCAAAAACATTGCATTCGAATTTTAGGTGTGCGTTAAGGAGGCAGCCTTATCAGTAGCACACGAGATACGATAACGATGTAAGTGTTGCATTATAATGTTTTTGTTAGCCTATTCAGTTGAAGCCACTAGATGCGGCACTGCTGCGTTGTTCATGAAAAATATTGCGGAAAAAGAGAACATCAATGCGGAGAAGATCTTGTTTACATCAAAGACTGAAACCAAGCTGTTCACACAGAACGCATATTTTGCGCATTTTCTAGAGGGACATCTATCACCGTTGCACTTGAGTCTCACACAAAAGAGCTGCATGTTTAGAAAGCCATGTCAAATTAATGCAAGTTCAACTTTGAAAAAAAACAAACAAATCTCGAGACTTTATGGCGAGGTTTTTTTCCTCATCCCACTGCATCTCATGTTTTTAAACGAAAAAACTGTGTGATTGGCTTTCGGCCCTTTGTATTAAACTATGCATACGTATGATGCTGTTTCGTTTATAGTTAAGCAACTTAATTATAATTGGTTTATAAACATTTTAAACATTATGCTCTTTTTTTCACAGATAGTCATGCTATTTTATTGCTTTGAATAAACGGTCATTTGTAATATTTTGCTCAATGCGCCCTCTTGTGGCCACAGGAGAGAAAAAAATCTAATTTCGAATATTCATTGAATTTAAAATAAAAATCCACATTCGAATGCAAAAACATTGCATTCGAATTTTAGGTGTGCGTTAAGGAGGCAGCCTTATCAGTAGCACACGAGATACGATAACGATGTAAGTGTTGCATTATAATGTTTTTGTTAGCCTATTCAGTTGAAGCCACTAGATGCGGCACTGCTGCGTTGTTCATGAAAAATATTGCGGAAAAAGAGAACATCAATGCGGAGAAGATCTTGTTTACATCAAAGACTGAAACCAAGCTGTTCACACAGAACGCATATTTTGCGCATTTTCTAGAGGGACATCTATCACCGTTGCACTTGAGTCTCACACAAAAGAGCTGCATGTTTAGAAAGCCATGTCAAATTAATGCAAGTTCAACTTTGAAAAAAAACAAACAAATCTCGAGACTTTATGGCGAGGTTTTTTTCCTCATCCCACTGCATCTCATGTTTTTAAACGAAAAAACTGTGTGATTGGCTTTCGGCCCTTTGTATTAAACTATGCATACGTATGATGCTGTTTCGTTTATAGTTAAGCAACTTAATTATAATTGGTTTATAAACATTTTAAACATTATGCTCTTTTTTTCACAGATAGTCATGCTATTTTATTGCTTTGAATAAACGGTCATTTGTAATATTTTGCTCAATGCGCCCTCTTGTGGCCACAGGAGAGAAGCCAAAAGCTTTTTTTCACCCTAACTGAAATTATGCATTTTAAAGTCGAATATAATTCGAATTTTGATCATATTTAAGTACAAAATTCTAATTGAGATTTTCAGCCATTTTGACAGCCCAAATTGTTATATTGGTGCATATAAATGGACAAGGAAGAATAATATTTGATCATCTTCAGTTAGTGATAAACTGGAAAATGTTATTTTAAAGCAGATTTTTACTAGATTTTAGTAAAAAGATTGTTGAAGGAGGATGTATATCTTGTAAATATATTAAGTATAGCATGTAAAAAGAGCATTACCAGGCATTGGTTTAAGCAGGACACTCCCTCACTTGGTGAATGGACAGAAATTGTTAAAGAAATATACAACATGGAAGAATTTACTTTTATTTTGAGACTTAAAAAGGACTTATTTCTAAAATATTGGAAGTGGATTGAATACTGTAATATAAATATTCATTAATTATATATATTTTACATGTGTAAATGTATATTTACACACTTGTTAAAAAACAATGTATACCCCCATTGTATTTTTTTGTTTGTTTGTTGGTTTGTTTTCTCTCATTTCTTTTTGATGTAAATTTTTTTTTCTTACAAAACGTTCCATAAAAATAAAGTAAAAAAAAGGAATATTACTATTAGCCTTTTAAACAATTTAATAGCAAATGCTATTATTGAGAAATACTTTTTTTAATGCCCATTCCTACTTCATGTTCATTTGTGCATAATACACAAAATCTAAACATGTTGAAGGTAGATTGCATGGCCTCCCAAAAACAAAATATGTTCAAGCATTAATGGGAAGCTTTGGTGAACAGAGAGGGAGGTAGATTTTCACATCTAGTTCCTCAAAGAACTGGAGGCTTTTCTTCTTAAATAAATCAAAATCCCACCAGACACAGCACAGGATTTGCATAATGGCATTTCAACATGGATAGAAGCAGCTCTAAAAGGGCGGCCCTATCCAATAACTCCTTTACATCAATTCATCTAAACAAACCAATATAATGCAGAAACCTGTCAAGAAAATATCTGGGTCATATAACTAATTTCACCACAAAATTAAAAGAAAACGTAAGTAATAAGAATAGTTTGTCTTACAAATTCCGTAAAGCAACACATTAATCTCTTTACCTTTGATTCTGGGATGAAATGTACTGTGTAATGTGAATGTTGTATTGTCATTTTTAAAGAACACTTACTCTT